TCCCACAGATGAAGGTGGTGGATCCCTGAGGGAATTGCAGATTTAATGTGGGGTGGGCCTCCTCCCTTTTCTCAATGCCAAAAAAGGGGGTGTGGTTCTGGCCCCACCTCCCCATACACCCTGTTATTATATATTGTGCTTTTGATATACTTGCCCCTGAAGTTAATCTTACCTGTGACATTGGGCTGTCTTTTTCTAGGAATTGGTTTTCATTCAACAACTATTTCCCAAGCAACTAACTAGTAGATGTAGGTATTGTGCCTCCTCCCTCCATCCAGTATATGTGAAATGTAAATTGCTCTAAAGAATAAAGCCTATTAAAATATATGTTATGTATTACAAAGTATCATAGGAACAAAGAGGAAACAGGTTTTCCAGGGTGAGGAGGCAGCATTTAATCTAGGACTAATGTTAATAGTCAGAAAAAGGGATGAGGAAGTAGCTTTAGCAAGGGTAGGGTGTGTTTGTCATCTCACACATTAGACAAGTAATTTGTAAGGGCTGAAAGACAGGGAAGGACCCAAGGACAGGTGAGGATAGCAAAATGGGGTTGCAGATAAACCATGGCTGCCCTTGAAAATCTTGTTTAGGAGCATTATAGTTCAGGAAGAGCCACTGATGTTTGATAAGTAGGAGGCAATGTTTGAGCTGTTTAGGAAACAGTGTCTGGGTAAGACAGAGTGACGGGTACCAGAATGGTACAGTCATTTAGGTGGGAGAGAGAATTGTTTCCATAGAAATGAAAATAAGAGGTAGATATGAGAGAGAGAGAGAGTGGGTATCATATTGGAGAAGGTGTCTTTGAAGGTGACCCAAGGCTTCAAAACCCTGTGTGGACAGGGAGGGATACCGCTGAGAGGGGGAGCCCCAGAAGAGGGGCTGCTAGTCTGGGGATGGTGATCCCTTTGTAGATCACATTGCATTTGAGGGGCTGGTGGGATGTACATTTGTGCCTGGTCAACAGACACTGGAAATTCAGATCTGGAGCTCAAGAGTGTGGTCAAGGCTAAAGATAAAGATGTGGGAGTTGTCATCCCAGGGATACTAGTTGAAATAGCAAGTTGTTTAGTTTCCTTAATCACCTGAAGAAAGACTTGGGTTTCTGATTGCATGAGTGACAGCAGGTTGATGAGTGTTTTCTGGTGCCTGGATGACCAGTCCTGATTCTCCCAACACAGTCCTTGGAGCTTTGAGATTCCAAGAAAGGGATACACTGGGTCTGTCCTCTTTCACTCAGCCCAGCTTTGTCTCTTCTCCCTCAGTTGCCCAGCTTCTAATTCTGCAAACAACAGCTGGAAAACATGAGGGCCGACTCAACAGCTTTGTGTTGGGAATCAAGAGGCATCCAGGATGAAGATACCATCTGGCTACAGCTGCTGCCAAAATGAGTGTGTGTGTGTGTGTGTGTGCATATGTGTGACATGGAATGGAGTGGCTAAAAATTTCTTGCCAACTGTTTTTAAACATGGTAAATTAAATAGTCTTTAAAAATAGTTTGAATGCCATCTCAAAGATTATTTCATTTTCATTCAAAATCTTGGTGATTAGAAAATCAGAAATCTGGCATGCAAGGTCTTCTGATGGCAGGTGACCACCCTTTGTACACACACCACAGCCGGACCTTGCACTGGCAGTGGAGGGTGCTCAGAGACTCTGAACTTGGCTAGAAGCTGCCTCCTTTTTTCAAGGAGAGGCACAAGGGTCTAAGAATATATGAAAAGATTAAAAGTTCAAGAAAAGGCTTTTGTCCCCAATCCCAGTTCAAGAGAGGCCTCTTCCTGGAAAGTGATTAGGGATTTGTGTGTATGGTTTTATTCCTGGCCAAACAAGTCTCAAGCTAAGAAATCTGTTTCTAATCATAATTTGGATTACCCATCAAATGAACCAAATGTTTGTTTATCTACAGAGGCCAATCCTCAGGCACAAGAGAGGTCTGACAGACCTCCACCAAGGAACTGGGAAAGTTGTTCCCTCACCTCCCCAACCCCACCACCTGGTAGGCTTCTTCCAAGGTCAGCAGGCTACAACTGCCACCTCTTCATGCTGGAAAGTGCAGGAAAGAACTGCTTTGCATGGCATTCTGGCTTCTTCAGTTTGGGCTGTCCCTTCTGATCACTGCTGATTCTTGAATCAAACAAATTGCTATCCCCTCCCCAGCGCTTCCCTGCCCCCTGGAACATTTGGCAGTGTTTGTGGACTTTTGGCTGTGACCATTGGGGTAATGGGGTGTGTTATCAGCATCTAGAGGGTAGAAGCCAGAGATGCTGCCTAACATCCTGCAACGCACAGGGCAGCTTCCATAACAAAGCATTAGCCAGGCCCAGATGTCCGTTGTACCCACAGTAGAGACAGCTTTAATTAAAACCTACCTCACTAGTGTTTGTTCCTAACAGAGAGTAAATAGCCTTCCAGTAGATGTTGGTAAACCAGCTGTCTATGGGGAAAAGCCCCTAATTTGTAGCCTTAGCCAGTTTCCCTAAATACTCTCACCATATTTGATATCAATGCCATGTTCTTAATGTGGAGTTGGAAAGAGTCGTATAGAATAGGCTCTCGCTAGCTACTACACACCAGCTCCAGATATTCACCTGAGTCTTAGGAAGAACAACTAAAGCCAGCACACTCCCACAAATGAATGCGGGTGTCAGGGTCATGCTGAGGTACATTGGAACCTCAGCAAAAGGAAAAATCAGTGATATTGAGCCTGTCTTTCTTGAAAATTTAGATCGTTTTTCATTATGGAATTTTTTAATTAATGTAAAATATTGCATTAAATATTTATTTTATTTCTATTTCTCCTCCTTTTTGTCCTCCTATTTATTTTTGTTGTTGTTAAAACAGGATCCTGCTCTGTTTCCCAGGCTGGAGCATAGTGGCACAATCCTACCTTGTTGCACTCTGACTACTGGGCTCAAGCGATCCTCCTTCTTTAGCCTCCTGAGTAGCTAGGAGCACAGGTGCACACCTTTATGCCTGGCTGATTTTTAATTTTTTATAGAGATGAGGTCTTGCTATGTTGCCCAGGCTGGTCTTGAACTTTGGCCTCAAGTATCCTTTCATCCCAGCCTCTCCTCCTCCTCCTCATTCTCTTCCTTTTTCTCCATCTCCTCTTCCTTCTTTTCCTTCCTTCCTTCCCTCCTTGTTTTCTCCTCCTGCCTTCCTTCCTTCATAGTGGAATGGTTAAGCCACCTGACCAAAGGTTTCTGTTCAGGGCAGTGTCCACCATCACAAAGCAAAGCAAGAAAGCATGGAATTCATTAAGGTGATTTTCCTGCTTCCTGAAGAGAGAGTTATTGAGGATAGTTGAAATCTCTTCCAATGTCATTTTAAAGGCAGAATGGGAGAGGAGTGGCAACAAATGTTCTGTAAGGTCACAGTTGCTCAATTATCTTTCCATCAAATTAAAATTTTTACTTGAAAATTCAGGGTTTGCCATTAACTGGCTGTGTGTGCAATTCTGGAAGCCCCATTCATAGATTACGATGTGAATGATGCCCCAGAGTTTCAAGGCAGGTGATCTGGCTTCTTGAGGTCTCTTCAGACTCTACAAATCAAAGCAAATGAAGGAGGATGCCAATCCTGATTTCTTTTGGAGGCAAACCCTGAATGACAGCTGCTTTTCTTTTAAGGAGTTCTCACCAGAACTGGAAGGCAACTATGAGAAGCATGCTGTAGCTGTGGCACCCACTGGGCCAAGCATTCAGGACAGATGGCCTGACAAATGCTGTTGCACAAGTGTCCTTCGTTAGATCGGCCTGTTATATTCCTTCATGGCATCTAGTACTCTAAGAAAGCATGTATCATGATTCGGTAATGATGCAGCTATTTGCCTGATTGTTTACTGTCTGCCCTCAAGAATGTAACTCCAAGAGGACAGGACACACTGTGTCTCCAGCATGAGTCTGTACACACTAAGTGCTCAATAATGGTTGCTAAGATGCATGAATGAAAGAAAAACAATGAGACAATGCATATCCAAATGGGTGGAGGGACACCCAGAAGAACAAAAGGCAAGGCGGAGAAGAGTTTCAAAGTCTCACTCCCCTTCCCTGAAATGTCGAGAGCAAGAATTCTAATATGATACCTGAAGCAGGGTAGGAATGACATTAACTCATACAATTCCTAGAAAATGGTGAGATACAGATGAGACTCTAAATCTGATAGATCACAGCTGTTGGGGTCAAAATCTGCTCTTCAGAGTATTCTGCTCACTGTGGAGGGCGACAAGCCACAGGCATACTTTTTTATTATGCTTCGCTTTGTTGTGTTTTGCAGATACTGCATTTTTTTACAAATTGAAGGTTTTAGCAACTCTGTGTGCCATTTTTCCAACAGCATGTGCTCACTTTATGTCATTTTGTGGTAATCTCACAGTATTTCAGATTTTTTCATTATTATTATTATTACCTGTTACGATGATCTGTGATTAGTGATTTTTGATGTTACTATTGTAATTGTTTTGAGATCATGAACCACACCCATACAAGACAAATGTGTGTATTCTGACTGTTCTACTGACTGGTCATTTCTCCATCTTTCTGCCTTTCCTCAGGCCTCCCTATTCCCTGAGACAATCACTGTTTCCTCCTACTCTTAAAACTTGGCCAATGAAAAAAAAAAAAAAAAAAACCTTGGCCAATGAATAACCCAACAATTGCCTCTAAGTGTTCGAGTGAAGGGAAGAGTCATGTGTCTCTCACTTTAAATGGAAAGCTAGAGATGACAGTGCTTAGTGAAGGAGGTGTGTCAAAAGCTCAAACAGGCTGAAAGTTAGGTCTCTTGCACCAAATAGTTAACTTGTGAATGCAAAAGGAAGATTCTGGAAGGAAATTAAAGATTCTACTCCAGTGAACACATAAATTATAAGAAAGTAAAACAGACGTGTTGCTGATATGAAGAAAGTTTGAGTGGTCTGGGTGAAGGATTGAATCAGTCACAACATTCTCTTAAGCCAAAGCCTCATTGAGAGCAAGGTCCTAATTCTCTTTAATTCTATGAAGGCGGAGAGAGGTGAGGAAGCTGCAGAATTTGGAAGCCAGCAGAAGTCGGTTCATGAGGTTTAAGGAAAGAAGAAATCTCCGTAGCATAAAAGTCCAAAGTGAACGAAGTGCTATGTTGAAGCTGTAGCAAGTTCTCCAGAAGATCTAGGTAAGATTATTGATGAAGGGAGCTACATGAAATAACAGAGTTTCAGTGTTGATGAAACACCCCTATATTGGCAAAAGATGCCATGTAGGACTTTCATGGCTAAAGAGAAGTCAATGCCTGGCTTCAAAGCTTCAAAGGACAGGCTGACTCTCTTGTTAGGGTCTAATGCAGCTGGTGATTTTAAAGTTGAAGCCAGTGTACATTCACCATTCTGAAAATCCTAGGGCCCTTAAGAATTATGCTAGATCTACTCTGCCCGTGCTCTAGAAATAGAACAACAAAGCCTGGATGACAGCAATGTTTACAACGTGGTTTGCTGAGGTTTTTTTGCTTTTTTGTATTTTTAGTACAGATGGGGTCTCACCATGTTGCCCAGGTTGTTCTCAAACTCCTGAGCTCAAGCAGTCCCTGCCTCAGCCTTCCAAAGTGCTGGGATTACAGGCGGGAGCCATGGTGCCCAGCTGGCTTACTGAGTATTTTAAGCCTACTGTTGAGAGCTACTGCTCAGAAAAAAAAAGATTCCTTTCAAAATATTACTGCTCAGTGACAGTGCTCAATGAATTAGTCAACTACTCTGATGGAGATATACAGGGAGATGAATGTTGTTTTCATCTCTGCTAACACAGTGTCCATTCTGAAGCCCATAGATGGAGTAATTTCGACTTTCAAGTCTTATTATTTAAGAAATACATTTCATGGGAGGCCGAGGCAGGTGGATCATGAGGTCAAGAGTTCGAGACCATCCTGGTCAACAAGGTGAAACCCCGTCTCTACTACAAATACAAAAAATTAGCTGGGCATGGTGGCGCATGCCTGTAATCCCAGCTACTCGGGAGGCTGAGGCAGGAGAATTGCCTGAACCCAGGAGGTGGAGGTTGTGGTGAGCCGAGATTGCGCCATTGCACTCCAGCCTGGGTAACAAGAGCGAAACTCCATATCAAAAAAAAAAAAAAAAAAAGAAAGAAATGAATTTCATAAGGCTATAACTGCCATAGTAATTTCTCTGAGGGATCTGGGCAAAGTCAATTAAAACCTTTTTGATAAAGATTCATCATTCTAGATGTCATTCGGAACAGTTTTTATTCGCAGGAGGAAGTCAAAATATCAACATTAACAGGAGTTTGGAGGAAGTTGACTCCAATCCTCACAGATGACTTTGAGGGGTTTAAGACTTCAGTGAGTGAAGTAACTGCAGATGTGGTGAAAAGAGCAAGAGAACTAAAATTAGAAGTGGAGCTTGAAGATGTAACAGAATTGCTGCAATCTCATGGTAAAACCTAAACAGATAAGGAGTTGCTTCTTATGAATAAGCAAAGAAAGCTTTTTCTTTCTTTCTCCCTTTCCTTTTCTTTTTCTTTCTCTCACTCTCTGTCTCGTTCTCTCTCACACACACTTGTGCGCGCGTGCTCTCTCTCTCTTTCTTTCTTTCTTTTTTTTCTTTTCAAGACAGAGCCTTGATCTGTTGTTCAGGCTGGAGTGCTGTGGCATGATCTTAGCTCACTGCAAACTCCACCTCCCGGGCTCAGGTTCAGGTGATCCTCCCATCTCAACCTCTCAAGTAACAGGGATAACAGGCATGTGCCACCACACCTGGCTAATTTTTGTACTTTTTTGAGACAGAGTTTTACCCCATTACCCAGGCTAGTCTTGGACCCCTGGGTTCAAGCAATCCACCCACCTTGGCCTCCCAAAGTTCTGGGATTACAGGTGTGAGCCACCGTGCCAAATTGAAAATGGTTTCTTGAGATGGCCTCCTTATGAAGGTGCTCCTTATGAAGGTGCTATGAACATTGTTAACATGACAACAAAGGATTTAGAGTTTAGTTGATAAAGCAGCAGCAGGGTTTGAGAGGATTAACTCTAATTTTGAAAGAAGTTATGCTGTGAGTAAAATGCTATCATACAGCATCTCATGTTACAGAAAGGGAAAGTCCATTGTTGTGGCAACTTCATTGTTGTCTTATTTTAAGAAATTGCCAAAATCACCCCAACATTTGGCAACTACCAGCCTGATTAGTCAGCAGCTATCAGCATCCAGACAAGACCCTCCACCAGCAAAAATATTATATGACTTGCCGAAGGCTCAGATTGTTCAGACATTTTTGAACAATAAAGTGTTTTTTAGTTAAAGTATGTACATTTTTTTAAAGACATAACGCTATTGCATTCTTTTTTTTTTTGAGATGGAGTCTTGCACTGTTGCCCAGGCTGGAGTGCAGTGGTACAATCTCAGCTCACTGCAACTCCATCTCCTGAGTTCAAGCTATTCTCCTGCCTCAGTCCCCTGAGTAGCTGGGATTACAGGCACCTGGCACCATGCCCAGCTAATTTTCATATTTTTAGTAGGGACAGGGTTTTCAACATGTTGGCCAGGCACATTGCATTCTTAGTAGACTGCAGTATAGTGTAAACATAAATTTTATATATATTGGGGAACCAAAACATTTGTGTGACTTGCTTTATTGTGATAGTCACTTTATTGCAATGGCTGGAACTGAACAGTATCGCTAAGGTATGCCTGTATATGTGATGGTGCTTGAGATGCCAAGCCCTTGGATGATGGATGATGTGAAGTCGTGGGCCTCAAGGGGCTCATGACCCTTACAGTCTGCCCTGAAATGAAGTACAGCTTCTTCCCTTAGGGACCAACTCAAAATGGCCTGAGGTTATCCCTGTGGCTAGGCTGGGCCACTGGGGCTGGATGCTGGAATTGGAAGAAGGACCCTGGGGAGGAAGCCTCAGGGAATATTCAGGGGACAGAAGCTCCCAGGTTTCTTCATGGTCTTGTTTCGACTTAGTACTCCAGGTAGGAAAGAAACCAAAGGGAGGTAGCACAAGGTAAGCAAAAGTTAGCTGATGATGTAGGTTATCCACACGTTTTAAGAAAATTTCCTGGCTGGGCGTGGTGGCTCACGCCTATAATCCCAGCACTTTCAGAGGCTGAGGTGGGCTGATCACCTGAGATCAGGAGTTTGAGACCTACCTGGTCCAACATGGTGAAACCTTGTCTCTACTAAAAATACAAAACTTAGCTGGGTATGGTGGCAGGCACCTGTAATCCCAGCTACTAAGAAGGCTGAGGCAGGAGAATCACTTGAACCCAGAAGGCGGAGGTTGCAGTGAACAGAGATCGTGCCATTGCACTCCAGCCTGGGTGACAAGAGTGAGGTTACATCTCAAAAATAAATAAATAAATAAAGGAAAAAAGAAAATTCCCTAGGTTTTATAGCTCACTCCAATGGGCCAAACATGTTTCATTAATTTTGAAAATAACCCACTTTTAAGAACAAATTTACCCTGTTCTGAAATGCACAGTTATTTATAGGAGAAGCTCAGCACTTCAGGACTACAAAATGGACTAGGAGATGAGAAAAGCCTGGTTTGGCTAAGATGGATGACAGGCAACCTCACAAATGGAAATATATTCCCACTCATTCTATTAATGGTGTGCAAGAAAACTTGAGGTCCTTGTTGACACTTATGGTATATAGATGACACGGGCCCCACCCCTACTGTGAAGATCAGAGTGAAGAATTTCCCAGCCTTGCCACCATTTAAACAATGTCTTAGTTTCTCTCTCCCTCTTTCTCCACTCTCTGCATGTGGGTGCACATGTGGGTGTGCATGTGTTGGGGAGGTGGCTTAAGGATTTCAAAGAATATGCTGGTAGTAGTTTTAGGAGTAAGTCATATAATTGTTGTGTTTCTTCTTCTAGCTTTAAGGAGGAAAATTCAGGGGAAGAGATTATTAATTCCAGTTTGAAAAGTGCTTTGAGATCCTCTAATGAAGGGTTTTAGAAGTATGAACATGTTTCCTGAATGTGTGCTTACAACATGTGAGTCTATGTTAGAATGGTGCTAGGCTATCAAATATACCCCTCTCCTATGTCCCTGAATAGGAAGGTACATGCTGACAGGAGAGGGGAGGGGAGGAGAAGAGAAGGGAGAAGGGCTGGAAGGAAAGAGAAGATATTGGAGAAAAGACTAGTGTTTTGTGTTAACCTGGAGGAAGGACAGCATGGGCACCCAGTGTCTGTGCATAAGTTGCACGTCTGAGAGTGAAACCAAGGCCTTCCTTTGTTCCCCAACAGTTTGCTCCTTGTGAAGTTTGTTCTCACTTTGCAGTCTGAAGTCTGTTGACTTTCAGGGTGGTCTGTTAGTTCAGGCTTTACCAAAGGAGTTAATAGTTACTGTATTGTCATGCTGGAAGCTACCTTTAATTTTTCAAGAGAACTGCAGAATTGTTTTGTTATATTATTAGTATTATTGGAATAATAATCATCAACCATTAAAATCTTTATTATTCTCTGCATTTATGGAGCTGCTCTTCCTAGAAAGCTCACATTTATTTTTCAGCAAGGTCTTATTTTGAAAGAGGGGGTGCTTTCTCTCATAGCTAATGTCTAGCTGGAGTGCAGACATCTACACCAGCAGCAAGCAGTCACCTACCGCAGGAACTGACCGGGAGGCAGCAGCGTGTGCTAGTTAAACTTCCGACTCCAGATCCAGCTTGAATTCCTGATCTGCTGCTCCCACCCTCATGACTTTAGGCAAGTTACTCAACTCCTCCAAATCACAACTTCCTCATCTGTGAAACAGGATAGGGTTATTATCCTTTCTGTGTTACTGTGAGAATTAAAAGTATAATTATATATAATGCTTACAATAGGATGTGATGCATAAGAAGCACCAGATAAGTACTTGCTGCTGCTTCTATCATCATTATCATTATCTTCTAAGAAACCGTAGGCTGATTTAAAGCAAATTATTATAATTATTTCTGTAACTATTATTAATAAGGCCTCCTAAAGAAATTAAGGTTGCTTTAAAGCAAAATACTCAAGAGGATAGAATTATTTTTGGTGCTCTCCTACTTCTATTCTTAGCTTCTCTCTTTTCCTTTTAGTTTTTCCAAATTTTTGATAGCGTACTCAAGGTTTTAGTAATGTGGCTGGTCACAGTGGCTCATGCCTGTAATCCTAGCACTTTGGGAGGCTGAGGTGGGAGGATCGCTTGAGCCCAAGAGTTTGAGACCAGCCTGGGCAATACAGTGAGACTCCATCTCTCTCTCAAAAAAAAATTAGTGATGTGTAAAACATATCCTCTATCAGTGTAACTAATTTAGTCACACATACATACGGGTTTTAATTCATACTTTTAAAGGACACTGGAAGCTTGAATTTTTTTTCTGAAAAACAAATAGATCTTATAGACTTCTAGAACTTTGAAACTGGATTTCAGGGAACGTCTAGTTCAACTCCACAGTAGGCAAATGATTCATCTTTAGAGATAGGAGTGACTGGTTAGTGGCAGAGTGGGCCCAGAGTCTTAGGTTAAGCTAGACAACTAAGAGCCGTGAACATGTGGCGCATGGTGTGGCTTCTCGTACACCTGTTTCCACTGAACTGCACTGTGACAATATACCAGGAAAGGATCAGACTGTCTGCAAACCCATTACTTTATGCACTGAAGAGGGGTGTTGCTAAGGGCGATATCCTGATCCTCTTTATGAATACTCTTGAGGAGCAGTATTGAAAATAGTTATTGCTTTTGGAACAACTGTTTTTTTTCTTTAATTTTTTTGTTATTTAAAAAAGTATTATTATTTTGATTACCAAATCATAGTTACATACAAAACCAGTTTGTTTTCATTGGATGAACACCATGAACTTTTAATCTATTAATGTATCACATTTTTGTGTTGGCTACTAGGAAGCTCAAGGACAAATTTACATTCTGTGTCTGTGGTTAGAAGCCAAAAGCTTCCACAAATTGCAGTTATATATTAGCGCTGAACACCTTGTAGCCAGCTTTCCTAAACTTTGATCTATTAAAAAAGGGAGTGTTGGAGCCCTTTCCATTGTATGCTTTACTTTTTTCTTGGATATTCATGGTGTACACATTAGCATCTTAAAGGTTCTGGGAAGTCTGACAGTTTTAAATAAAAACAAAAGAGCTTTAAAGGTTTGTTCAGCCTTGTACTTGTAAAACTTACCTGATTACATAATCTTTAAAAATATTATCTCAAGCCGTGCATGGTGGCTCACACCTGTAATCCCAGCACTTTGGGAGGCCCAGGAGGCAGATCACGAGGTCAGGAGACTGAGACCATCCTGGCTAACATGTCTCTACTGAAAATACAAAAAATCAGCCAGGCGTGGTGGTGCGTGCCTGTAGTCCCAACTACTTGGGAGGCTGAGGCAGGAGAATCGCTTGAACCTGGGAGGTGGAGGTTGCAGTGAGCCAAGATTGTGCCACTTCACTCCAACCTGGGTGACAGAGGGAGACTGTCTCAAATATATATATATATATTTTATATTTTATATATATATAAATATATATATATTTTATATTTTATATATATATAAATATATGTATACCCAGAAATTTCTAGTTTTATACAAAATACATTTCGGAAAATACTACCTTTTAGTACTCTGTAATCAATTCCTGTTTATTATTATTAATTTTATTATTATTTGAGATGGAGTTTTGCTCTTGTTGCCAAGGCTGCAGTGCAGTGGCATGATCTCAGCTCATTGCAACCTCTGCCTCCTCAGTTCAAGTGATTCTCCTGACTCAGCCCCCTGAGTAGCTGGGATTACAGGTGCCTGCCACCATGCCTGGCTAATTTTTTTGTGTTTTTAGTAGAGATGGGGCTTCACCATGTTGGCCAGGCTGGTCTCAAACTTCTGACCTCAGGTGATCCACCTGCCTCGGCCTCCCAAAGTGCTGGAATTATAGGCATAAGCCATTGTGCCTGGCCAAATCCTGTTTATTAGAGTCATGGCAGTACAAAGGTTGGTGAACTTGGTTCTTTCTATTTCTGTGCAGCAGGAGGAAGTCCAGGACGTGTACACTGGACTAGATACCTGATGCGGCCACTGCTAGCTCTAAAATTTTTGATTCCCAATTTAAAAAATGAAGAAAGTTTTCAAGAATGTGTGTTCCTCAAATTTGGAATTGCAGTTTGCTAAAGTAAATACTAAAGTTAGAAATTAAAACATTGTATACCATTTCTGGCACTGTTTATCCCATCTAATCTAAAAGATTGTTTAAACAATTATGTTTATAGAAACAACCTCCAGGAGTGTTTACAAAGACACAAATTTTCTTTGAAAAGCATCAGAGTAAAAAGATGTAAGATTTTCTTGAAACTCTGGTTTGGTATAGAATTTATAACCCCTCCTTCTTGCTTGATAAAGGCTTGTATAATGAGGTGATGAAACTTCATAGTGTATCTTTCGGAGGCTGTTCAACTAGATTTATTAACTCAAGCATGTGGCCCATTCAGAGGCAACATTGTTCATTTATGGATGCTTTTGCCTGTAAAATCCCTTCCTCTCCCTTCTCCATTAAAACTAAAAAGAAACAACAAGGACCTCCAATACATACCTAATTATGTATGGGATAATGGGTACACACTCCAGCCATATCCCTGGGCATGTGCTTGAGACTTGTCCCAGAAAGCACATCCAGCCTCTGGAGTTGTTCATCGCCTAGACCAGTAAGCCAGACCTAAGGGGAAATAGCAAAGCAAGGTCACCTGCAAGGAGAAGCGGCAGGCTGCAGGGAGAAAGGACTGGCTTTCACACCTGGTTCTTGGGTGACATCCAGCTTCTTCAGCAGCCTGCTGGATGTGTCACCACAATCTCAAGTAGCTTTCATTGCTTTTCTCTTTTTGTATGCCCTTGTAAAGGGTGGGTGAGATTTCATTGCTTCTCTGGGCCACCTGTCTTGCTGATTGTATCTGTATGTTGTTTTCTCCCTGTTTGATGTGTATGCATTTAATTCAGATTGGATGCCTACTATGTGTCAGGCATTATGTCCCCAAAATGCATATCTTCCCATACTTGCCCTTGAGGAGCTAATGATATAGAAGAGCACATGGATACCAGAAACAATTTCCGTTCATTGTGGCAAAGACTCCAGAAGAGCCATGTGTAAAGACCAGAAGGTGACATTTGAGTCAGGTCTTAGAGAATGTGTTGGACACCCATTTTTCCATTAATAGAATTACTTTTTCTACTTAATAGCACTAGCCTGCTAGAAAGAGAAGTAGAAGCCAATAACTCGTTTTGGTTAACTCAGGAGACTGACAGAACCTATTAGCTAAAGGCTAAACTCTTATTTCAAGCAATTCAGCAAATATTCAGGCCTTAATCATTTCAGTTATTGGAGGACAGTGCCATCTGGAAAGCGGACTCTCTGGAACTTACCCTCAAGTTTCCCTGATGTAAAGATATTCTAGGAATTGTGTTTGACTTTGGAAATTCCTAGAATTAGCTTTGCTTTATGTTCAATAGCCCTAATTTCCCAATCTTGTGGCAAACACTCAGAAAATGAACCACATACTTAATGTTGCAAAGATGAAAACAGAGATCATTACTGAAGAACCGGTTTTAATTTAAATTTCCAAAGTAATTTTACAAAGTGCAAGAACATGTGAAGTAAGCTGGCTCCTTGAGTTTGCAGTTCCTTGGAGAGCTGACACTGAAAGCTCATAGCCTTCTTAGTGCCCAGTGGAATTCTGTGAATTTTTTTCAAGTTACTTCTATGAGACAAACTCATGGATGTCAACCATATGACACAATATCCATGACTTTCCTGGCTGTACAAATAGTTCTCTAATTTGATGCTAATAATAGGAAATCTTTTTCTTTGGCAAATACTCTTTTTTAGACTTAACATTTCAGACACACCCCTCTCCCTGAAAAAAAAAGTTCAATTTAATAATGATTTTTGTCTGTCTGTGTTTATTATACCTGGACCCTGAGAGTACATTTATCTTCTGTCATGGAGTTGAGACAGTATCTATTCAGCTGGTTTTCCAGCCCCAAACTTAAGTAGGATCCTTCACCTGCAGAACATGGGGCTGGCCTCGCCTTTGAAAGTAGTACCCATGCTTCATTTTCCAATTTGAAACTTAGCAACTGCTTTTTCCAGACCTGAGAGTTTTCCTCCTGCCCAGCTATTACACACCGCCTCATTGGATTCTAATACAGATCTGTCACTCCTTCTAGACCTTGAACTCCTTAAGAACAAGGACAGTGTCTCACTTGTCTCTGCATTCCATAGTTCATTATGAAACGAAGGCCTTTAAGAATTATTTGCAAAATCTGTATTGCATTCTTATCCTAAAAGTTTGTAAATTGGGCCATCAAATGTGTGAAAAAGAGCAAATACCATGTATGCAAATCTCAGAACTTGACTTCTCATAATAATAGTAATTATTATTATTGTTTTGAGATGAGCCTCTATTGCCCAAGCTGGAGTTCAGTGGTGCAATCTCAGCTCACAGCAACCTCTGTCTCCTGGATTCAAGTGATTCTTCTGTCTCAGCATCCTGAGTAGCTGGGACTACTGGCACGTGGAACCATGCCTGGCTAGTTTTTTTGTTGTGATTTTTCTGTAGAGAAGGGTTTCACCATATTGGCCATGCTGGTCCCAAATTCCTGACCTTGTGATCCACCTGCCTCAGCCTCCCAAAGTGCTGAGATTACAAACATGAGCCACCTCACCTGGCCAATTATTTTTTAAAAAGAAGGCAAACCAGGCTGCAGTGGCTCACACGGTACCCAGCCTAGTTTGCACAGGCAAATAGGGTAAGTAGGTTGCTTAAAATTGCCCAGAAATTAAGTGATCGTTCTGACCCAAGCCATTTGGCTCTAGATGCACATTCATAAATCCCTTTGCCATCTATTCTTGGCTTACCTCGTTTAATTTTCTTTTCCTGAGTCCCTCTAATAAGTTCTTAGCTTCTGTTCTTTTTCTTTAAAATTGGCACTCATCTCTGATTTATCACCTCTTCTGTCCCCCTGCCCCTATTCTCTCCCTCCATTTTCCCTTATTCTCTTCCTTCTAATTCCATTACTGATGAGAATCATATTGTGTACCTGAAATTTGTATTTCAAGCAGCTTTCTGTCAACAACCAGGAGCTTCCTGCATCCTGCAACTTTATAGAACAAAATGCGTATGAGCGTTATAAATCTCTAAGTGCGCATGTTCTTACTTTGATGACTGGTTAAGAGAGTGTTTAAAAATCACCTCCGATTTTGAGCTTTGAATTTGGGCTGGGAAAGATAATAAAAGCAATATAAAGAAAGGGAAATGAACTTCAAAACCGGCCGCCTGCTTTTCCCTGTAAGAAGACCACTATAAATTGTGGAGATGCTTCTCAAATACAATTAGACTCTGCCGCTGCCTGCCGCATCTCTCCACACTGCATCACTGTTCTCGAAATCACTGAAGCCTCTCTTGGGACACTAGGTAATCTGAAGAAAGAATAGAGTGTTCAGGCAACACAAGTTCTACAGAGAACTAAGGCACACTGATTTGCATTTCTGGGTCAGCATGATTTCACTTTCATTTAACCCTTGTACTGACCCTTGTTTTTCAACACATTGGCTCCTTCTGCCTTCTGAGACTGTGTGATGTGCTCAAGCCAAGAAGGTAACCCAAAGCCTTCAAACCTCTCTCCATGCCCTCTTCAAATTTCCTGCCATCATTGAGGTCCTTTCAGTGAGGAATTGGCCAACATTTTAAGTGTCTCTGGATGCAGGTTTTATTCACCTTTAATAAGGTAGTTTTGTGTGTTAATGTAAAATGAAATGAATATTAGAAATCACATATTCAGATATGCTTGTGGCTGCCAGGGTTTTGTATTTCCAGCGTGATTGTTATATTCTCTCTAATCTCTCTCTCTCTCTCTCTCTCTCTCTCTCTCTCTCTCTCTCTCTCTCTCTCTTTGTCTCTTTGGTAGGAGTAATGCTGAGAATCTTATGAAAACCCACAGTGTGTCAGAAGGACAGACATGACATATTTCTATTTGTCTTATTCACAGTGAAATTTCCAGTAAGAGAGAGCAAAGACCCCCAACAAGACTTAATTACTTGCACCTTAACAAGTGCAGGTCGTTATTTGTTTATGTGCAATGAGGTCCACTTGGCTGGAAGAACCTTGTATAAAAGTAAAGGTGCATTGCAGAATGCAAAGTGCTGGATAAATGCTGGCTATGAACCCAATGTTAAAATAATTGAGATGAAATGTTGATTAATTATTTGCCCAAAAGAGGTTTACCTCGATCAGTAAGAATAATGTTATTGCTTTTTTTCTTAATTGTAAAAGTAATAGCTGGATGCAGTGGCTCACGCCTGTTATCCCAGCACTTTGGGAGGTGGAGGCAGGCAGATCATTTGAGGTCAGGAGTTTGAAACCAGCCTGGCCAACATGGTGAAACCCTGTTTCTACTAAAAATACAAAACAATTAGCCGGGCATGGTGGCATGCACCTGTAATTCCAGCTACTTGGTAAGCTGAGTCAGGAGAACTACTTAAACCTGGGAGGTGGAGGTTGCAGTGAGGTGAGATCACACCACTGTACTCCAGCCTGGGCGACAGAGCAAGATGTTGTCAAAAAAAAAAAAAAAAAAAAAAAGAAAAGAAAAAAAATAATAATTTTATGATATGTGAATGACATCTCAACAAAGCTGTTTTTTTTTTAAAAATATATGAAATTATAGAAAAGACAGGTAAACAATTGGAATAAAATCAAAATCATCAATAATCCCAGTTCCCAGAGATAAGCACCAATAGCATTTGTTTTTCTATAATTTTCACTGTGTAAATACAAAACTGAAATAATACAATAAATAGTGTTGAAATCTCCCTTTCTCTCTCTCTCTCTCCCCTTCCTTCCTTCCCTCCCTCCCTCCCTCCCTCCCTCCCTCCTTCCTTCCTTCCTTCCTTCCCTCCCTCCCTCCCTCCCTCCCTCCTTCCTTCCTTCCTTCCTTCCTTCCTCTTCTTTCTTTTCTCATGGTCTCACTTTGTCACCCAGGCTAGAGTGCAGTGGCACAACTGTGCCTCACTGCAGCATCGAACTCCTGGGCTCATGCGACCCTCCCACCTCATCCTCCCAAAGTGCTGAGATTACAGGTGTGTGCCACCATGCCTGGCTTCCTTTTCGTTTAATATATTATGGACATTAAATATTCTTCTGCCTCTGCATAGTGTTCTGCTGTATAAATGTTTTATAACATAAGCAACTCTCTATTGTTGGACATCTAGGCTGTGTCCAAGTTTTTGATAATGTTTTTGATAGCTGTCTAATGCACATTCTTGTAGCTATATCTTTGAGCATATCTGTGATTATTTCTGAATAAATTTCTAGATATCTAGTTCTTGAATCAAAGAATATGCACTCTTTTAAGACTTTAAAACACACATGACTCTGTGTGTGTGTGTGTGTGTGTGTGTGTGCGTGCGTGCATGTGTAACATACAGGACATGAATTTTAGAAATCACATTTCAGATATGCTCATGGCTGCAAGAGCTTTGCACTTCCTGGTTGTTCATTCTTAATGTAATGAGAATAGTTATGGAGAACAATGGATGTTATATTCTCTCTCTCTCTGGTATGAAGTATGCTGGGAATTCCATGAAGACCATCTCTTCGTGGTCCATTCCATTTCTTGATTCCATTAAGAATCTTCAGGAAGATTCTTCCTTAGATTCTTAATGAAGTTAAATGTTGTTTCAAATGCTTATTGCCCTCTAAATATAAATATAAATATATTTAATATGTATCTAGATACATACACATTCATATATTTGTATATATTCCTATACTTATATATGCATATATAATCAATTTGAATCAATACCTTTTTGAAGTTATATATGTGGATGTGTATATGTACACGCAAATACTCACTACATTTATACTAGCAGTGGACATCATTGCATTTATTTTTATATACATTCCCTAACATTATTATTATTTAAAATTTTTCTTTCCAACTGCACTAGTGAAAAATGGTACCTTATACTTGTTATAATTTGTACTCCTTAGATTGTTAATGAAGTTAAGTGTTGTTTCAAATGTTTATTGGCCATGTCAAAATTATTTGTCCTTTGACCATTTTTCTTTTATCTTTAATTTGTAAGATTTAAAAAAATTGAATTAAGGCTATTAATTCTTTGTCACCTTTTTTATTTGAGTTGAACAAAAAACTCAAATGAAAGTGATGCACATTTTTCTTTTTTTATCTTTATTCATAAGTCAGTATAATATTTGTCAGTTTGAGTGTTATACACGTGATAAAACATTATGAAAAGTATCATATTTACAACAAGAATATTATTTTATATAACTGACTCACCAAATATGCAACCTCTTGCAACAATAGCACAATGGACTCAACTCTGTCCTTTGAATGAACCAATTTCATGATTCTTCTGAAAAGTTTTGAGTGAGTATAGTTTCCTGTTGCTTCTTTCTGTGGATCTAAGGCTTAAGAATCAATCTCTGGAAACCAGCGGCTGGAATCTGACCTCCCCAGAATCAAGAGGAGACAGCAGTGGGAAAAAGAACACAAGCCCCAAAGTCTCCAGCACTGTACCAAATGCTCGATTTCAGAGCATTCAAGCACTCAAGGTCAAGTGTGGGGCCATATATATGTATGTCCTGTCATCTCAAATGCCACAACTGTTAGTTAGCAGGATATGCGAGAGAGGATGCATATCATGGAGGAATAAATCAGTCCCAACAATTATATAAGCATTTCTAAAAATTCAATAGCAAGGATTTTCTAAAATACAAGTTTACAGACAGAAGCTATACAGCCAGCCATTAACTGAAGTGCACGTGCAATGCCATGAAGGAGGAGCTATGTTTATGAAACCATACACATCTTATTTATCTCTAATTTTAAAATCATTCATTCTCTTTTTGGGTATGCAAGTGAGCAGTGGAGAAAGGGGTGCATCTGCAATACGAGCTGGTGCTAAGGATTTCAATGCTTCCAGAAGATGTGGGCTAGAGAACTTTATTAGGCGTCGGAGGGGTTCTTCCCTTTCAGTCAAGATGCTCCCATTTAAATCACTTTGAATTTCGTTTCAAGCTTATATTGTGCAAATTCTAGTCATGGTTGAGGATAATCTCCAAACATTTCCTGAGTTATTTGTTGAACTCTTTTTCTACTATGTTTTCATGAATGATCCTTGAATCCATATTTATATCTAGTCCAAGGCTTCTTTCCTGTAGGGGTGTCATAGAGTTGTGAGTTCAAAGGTCTGATTATACTGTTTAAAAACAATAGCCTTAAGAGAGTCCAGATATCAACTTCTCAGGTCCATTTTCACAATCTGATGGTGTTTGCTAGCAATTGTCAGCGCCTGACCCAGAAGTGGCATATTGCGCCTCATCTTGGAGGAGGATGTGAAGGCATACGGAGTCTGGGAGTAGTATACCAAGTAGGTAGGTTTCTACTGGTTTGGCTTAGTGTACTGTGTTCCCCCAGGCAATTTGAATCCAGACTACATTCTCCTCAGTTTCTCTGAAGCTGACTTTCACATTTTTTAATGCTCTCTGAAGAATTTTCTTAAAGGAATTTTTGAATTGTTTCATATCAAAAAGGTCAACATCTTCCCCTGCTCCTTTACTCATCTGAAAAACATTCCACACTTTCTGGTGTTGATGAAATGATGTCTAACAGGGTAGTATCATTGAGACCTGCATGCTTTTCCTCACACAGCTGAACCAAGTGCTGAACTACAGATTCTTTTTCTGCTGGAAATTTATAGTCTACAGTTGATTTTTAGACAAAAAGTCCCAGGCTTTTAGGATTGTTGTCAGTTCATTCATGGGGATTTTTCAAGATGGTCCTCTTGGTGAACTCAGCAGCAGTCTCATCCATCCCTTTGGATATATCCACATAGCCCGCATATCCTGCTGTCTCACTCCTCAGCTGCCGTTCCCACCCATCTGATGCACATTTTTCTTTAAAAGAAGGGCAATTCAGTTAAAATTAGTTACAGGTAAACAAAGCATACTCCTGACCACATACATCCAATGTGTGTATAGGTTTAACTTTGTACATTTCTGAGTTGCTTTCTGGAAAATACTTCCAAATGAAAAACCAGATACCATCATCTTTATAAGTAACTGTGATTTCATTTTGAGGTAAATTATTACTTTGAGTTAAATAAAGGAAAATTACTGTTTTTGAGCATTAGCCAATCTTACAGTCTCCCGTCCCAAAGAAGCTGAATTCAAACTATTTTTAAAGGTCAGTTTATGTTTTCTTTTAATTCAGCTGCTTCATGGGTGGGGTATTTTTTCTCCATTTTAGCAGTAATCTAAATTGAGACAAACATAGACTCCAAGATAAATAAAAGGAACTCCAAAGACTGAGTGATCTGCTAGACTGGATACTTTAATAGATTTTGATGTGTGATGATACCATATTCCTCTCTCCTTTCATTCTCATGTATTGGCTTCCTGGTCTTAAATGAGTCTCCCTCTTTGCTTCTACCCAAAAGAATAGCACCTGCCTGAGGTAGGGGGTGGGGTGAAATGCCTGAACTGCCAGTGAGATCTCTTAAGCATGGGGTATTTTCCAGAGGAAGATGCTTAATTATTTCAAAGTATATTTTGTCCTGCTACTTAAAAATGCAATCATGCTTAAGATATGCATACATGTATGTGTGTATCAGTTTGCATGTCTATTTAGAATCATCTTTTTTTATTTTTGAGATGGAATCTTGCTCTGTCACCCAGGCTGGAGTGTAGCAGTGCAATCTCAGCTCACTTGTAATCTCTGCCTCTTGGGTTCAAGTGAGTCTCCTGCCTTAGCCTCCTGAGTAGCTGGTATTACAGGCACATACCACCATGCCTGGCTAAATTTTTTTGTATTTTTAGTAGAGACAGGGTTTTACCATGTTGGCCAGTCTGGTCTCGAACTCTTGGCCTCAAGCGATCTGCCTGCCTCTGCTCCCTAAAGTGCTGGGATTACAGGTGTGAGCCACCGTGCTCTGCCTGGAATCATTCATTATTAAAAACACTTATTGCCTTTTAGAATTGTGAAATGTGGCCAGGCGCAGTGGCTCACACCTATAATCCCAGCACTTTGGGAGACTGAGGCTGGCAGATCACCTGAGGTCAGGAGTTCAAGACCAGCCTAGTCCAACATGGAAACCTCATCTCTACTAAAAATACAAAAATTAGCCGAATGTGGTGGGGTGGGGGTGCCTATAATCCCAGCTACTTGGAAACCTGAGGCAGGAGAATCGGCAAAAGTTGCAGTGAGCCAAGATTGTGCCACTGCACTCCAGCCTGGGTGACAGAGCGAGACTTTGTTTCAAAAAAAAAAAAAAAAAAAAAAAAAAGGAATTAAGGAATGTATGTGTAATTTTAAAAATTCTAATAGTATTACTATTTTTTAAAGTCACTGGCAGCAATAACTCTTCTAATTAACTAATGGAGATAATGATGGCTACATCTTAACCCAAAGAGTAATTAAATGGTTCTGTCCAGTCTTCCTAATCTGGAAGAGATCCGCTATCGTTACACAGAGCAACACCGTCACTTGTTTCCAGATTGTGGGGTGAGAGTGAGGATAATACTTT